AAACATTTTTTCCAAAAATTGACTGTTTTCGAGATATTTTATCGTTCGAAGACTTTTTGAGAACCCTGTATACCAGGTATGTAAATATGAAATCGGAATTTTATATAGGAAATACACGTTTATTGTATGAAAATGATAAAAAATATTTTATTCGAAGTATTGCCCATCGCTAGCTATACATTTTTCCCAACTATCTGACAATTTGTGGATGCCGCGCCAAAAAAACTGTTGCTCTTTTGAGGCAAACCAGTCATCGAGCCATTTTCGTACATTTTCGTAAGAAGTGAAGCGCTGCTCAGCAAGTGCGTGTCCCATCAATGTAAATAAGTAGTAATCGGACGGAGCCAAGTCTGGTGAGTAAGCCGCATGCGAAAGTATTTCCCAACTAAACGCCTCAATCGTTTCCTTGATCAGTTTTGTTGTGTGTGATGGTGCATTATCATGAAGCAAGATCACTTTGTGTTGCCTTTCTTGATATTCTGGTCGTTTTTCACGCAAAGCTTGATTCAAATCGATCATTTGTTGTCGGTAGCGTTCAGTATTAACGGTTTGGCCAGGTTTTAGCAGCTCATAATAGATCACACCCTTCTGATCCCACCAAACACAGAGCATTGTCTTCCGTCCATAGCGATTTGGCCTTGCAGTCGATGTCGATGGTTCGCCTGGAGTTACCCATGATCTTTTACACTTCGGATTCTCAAAATATATCCACTTTTCATCGCCAGTTACAATTCGATGGAGAAATGACTTTCTTTTGTACCTGGCGAGCAGCATTTCGCAAGTGGTTTTTCGGTTTCCCTGCTGTCTTTCATTCAGTGCATGTGGAATCCATTTTCCCATCTTCTGGATCTTTCCTATGGCTTTCAAACGTATGGAGACGGCTTCTCGTGTCACATTTAATTGATCCGCGAGTTGTTGTTGCGTTTGAGCGTCATCCTCATCCAACAATGCTTGCAATTCGCTGTCTTCAAACTTTTTCAGTGGTCTTCCACGTTCTTCGTTTCTTACGTAAAAATCGCCACGTTTAAATTTTTTAAACCATTCAAAGCACTGTGATTTACGAAGCGCATGCTCACCGTAAGCTTCGACAAGTATTCGATGCGATTCTGCAGCAGTTTTCTTCAAATGGTAACAGAAAATCAATGCTGTCCGCAAATCGTAGCTCCCAGGCACAAAATTCGATATATTCAACGCTATTACAAACTATGTTGTTATATGAAACTTGTATTGTTATGAGTTGAAAATCTTTGTCAGATGTTAACAAATGGAAATGGCGCTAATGACGCGGTTTGACGGTACTACATTGACAGCTAGGGCCATCTGTAGGTAAATTCCGATTTCATATTTACAGACCTGGTACTACTCAAAAAAATTATGGCATCAAAAAATATGCGCTGAATATTGCTCAACTTTGAACAATGATTACTCAGCGATAAATGGTCGTAAGACAATGATTTTCTTTTTAAATTAAAGGTTGAAGTCTCAACTTTAACATGCTTTTGGTTGATTTTAGATCCAATTCATTTCTACAGCGTGCGATCCCATAATCCAATGGCATGCTTCTGATTTAAAAATTTGCAAACTTTGACAAAACGTACGGGGTTGAGTGATTTTTTTCGAAAATTCTACTTGCGGGAAATGAAAATTTGATTTTTCCCCTTTAATTAAAAAAAAATTCAAGTCTCTACGATTGTTTTTGCGATTTTGCAGCGTTTTAAAGAAACCCTTACATTTTCGTTACTGGAAGTAGAGTTTGCGTAACTATGTTCAATAATCTTTGGCATTGGCACACTGCCGACTTTGGGGGATTTTCTCGTGGAGTTGTCCTCTGTTGTCTTCCCTGTCCCTCTCGTGGTTGTAAATTACCCGTTTCCCGGAAACGTAACCAAATTCGCGAAACTGCGGATTGGTTAATACCGAGTCGCCTCGCTACGTACCTTTGCAAGAAGCCTTCGCTCATAAGCGCAATAATTAGTGCTCATTGAGCCTGAGACAATGGATGCATGTTTCTTTATCATAAAACACTACCATAAACTACCTTGTTTTACACTTAATGCAACAATTCGGTATTCCATTAGGTAATGCCAAAGTTGACAGTGATTTCCTACAAATCCTACTTTCAATAACGAAAATGTATGGGTTTCTTTAAAATGCTGTAAAATCGCGAAAATAAATCGTAGAGACTTGAATTTATTTTAAATAAAAGGGGAAGAATCAAACTTTCATTCCTCGCAAATAAAAATTTGGAAAAAAAATTATCCAAGCCTGTGCGTTTTGTCAAAGTTGCAAATTTTTAAATAAAAAACATGCCATTGAATTATGAGATCGCACGCTGTAGGAATGAATTGGATCTAAAATCAACCGAAAGCATGTTAAAGTTGAGACTTCAACCTTTAATTAAAAAAAAAATCATCGTCTTACAACTATATATCACTGAATAATCATTGTTCAAATTTGAGCAATTTTCAGTGCAAATTTTTTGATGTCATAATTTTTTTGAGTAGTGTATATGTGTACATACATATATCAGGTGTAGTAAAAAGAAATCCATTATTTTTCCAATAGATGGCTTTAATTATCTGTATTTCGCGTTGTATAAGTCCGATCGGGTTCCACTAGATGGCGTTAGAAAGATGAGATTTCGTACTAAAAAAACTTTTCTGACAGTTTTGTGATTAGTTGACTCAGTTTTGTTTGAGCGCGTCAAAGATGGACACTAGCAAAGAGAAAATACGCTATATTTTACAGTTTTTTTTCGATAAAGGCGAAAACGCAAGACAGGCGGCTGAAAATGTGAATAGTGTTTATGGTCTTGATACTGTAACAGCCAATCACGCGCAATTTTGGTTTCGTCGATTCCGTTCCGGTAATTTCGATGTCAAAGATGCACCACGCACTGGAAGGCCAATTGTCGAAAATATCGATAAAATCATGGACATTGTCGAGTCCGACCGTCATGTAAGCACTGTTTCGATTGCCCAAGAGCTAAAGATTGCACAAAAACCGTTTGGAACCATTTGAATAAGGCTGGATACAAAAAGAAGCTCGATGTATGGGTGCCACACGAGTTAACGAAAAAAAAACCTCATGGACCGAATTTCCATCTGTGAATCGCTGCTGAATCGCAACAAAATCGACCCATTTCTGAAGGGGTTGGTCACTGGTGATGAAAAGTGGATCACTTACGACAACGTCAAGCGAAAACGGTCGTGGTCGAATCGCGGTGAGCCGGCGGAAACGGTGGCCAAGCCAGGATTGACGGCCAGGAAGGTTTTGCTGTATGTTTGGTGGGATTGGCAGGGAATTATCTACTATGAGCTGCTCCCCTACGGCAAAACTCTTAACTCGGAACTGTACTGTCAACAATTGGACCGTCTGAAGGAAGCAATCGCCCAGAAGCGGCCAGCTTTGGCCAATAGGAGAGGAATTGTGTTCCATCAGGACAACGCCAGGCTACACACATCGATAGTGACTCGCCAGAAGCTCCGGGAGCTTGGTTGGGTGGTTCTTATGCATCCACCTTATAGTCCGGACCTGGCACCAAGTGATTACCATCTGTTCCTGTCCATGGCGAACAATTTTGCTGATGAAAAATTCGCTTCAAGAGAGGCTTGTGAAAATCGACTGTCTCAATTTTTTGCCAATAGGGGCGAGGGCTTCTATGAGAGAGGCATAATGAAATTACCTTCAAAATGGCAACAAGTTATCGAACAAAACGGCGCATATTTGACCTAAATCGAATCATTCTAACTATGGTAATTAAAGCCTTCAATTTCATGCAAGAATAATGGATTTCTTTTTACTATACCTAATATATAAGGGCTTCCATTAAAAGGTTTCATTTTTAAGAACCCGAGCCGTGCTCGGCTAGCTAGATTAACTGAAAACGTTGCAGTGGCTGAAAGTGTCGCAGAAAATTCAGGCTTGTCCATTGCAAGATGTTCACAGCAATTGGATATTCCATAAACCTATACCACATTTTGTATAAAAATCTTGGTGTACATGTTTGCAAGGCCTAGCTGACGCAAGAATTGAAGCCAAAGGACCCACACATATACAACACCGTACGTTCGTCGATTAGATGTTTGAAATACAAACGGTTAATTCTAATGTTTTTAAGAAAATCATTTTGAGCGATGAGGTCCGTTTCTACCTTTAAGACTACATCAATAAACAAAACTGCTGCATCCGAGGCGTCGAAAACTCAAGGACGATTGGTGAACAATTTCTCCATCGACAACGAGTGACAGTTTGGTACGGTTTTTGTGCTCGCGACGTCATCGGGCCATATTTTTTTGAAAACGAAACCGGTGCTACCATCACAGTCAATAGATTGCGCTGATCGAAAGATGCTGATTGACTTTTTTCAGCCTGAAATTCAAAGACTAGATCTGGACGATGTTTATTTTCAGCAGAATGGAGCTACATGCCACACAAGCCGTGATTGTATATAAAATTTATGCCAATGCTCCATAAACAATTCAAATCCCTAGAGACAATATTCAAACCGTCATTGGCGAAATTAAGCCACAATTGTGCAAAAGCATGATGGAAAATTTTTTCAAAAGAATGACTATTTGCAAGAAAAGTTGAGGCGGTCATTTGGCTGATATTGTGTTTCACATTTCATCGCATAGTTTATACTTTGGATTGGAATAAAAATATCACAACTTTTTCAAAAACAAATTCGTTTTTTTGTTAATTTAAAATGAAACCTTAATGAAAAACCATGTACGTATATTATAGGACATCATTATAGGCATCATTATAGGCATCATATTTAATACTTGATGATAATAATGTTTAATATTTAAAATTCTTATTATATAACAATATAGATACCACAGACTGTCCCGAGACCATAAGTGACGAAGTGCTTTAATTACAAGCTATTTATATCAATGTCATCTTATTCATTTAAATAATAATGCTTTACATATATACCGTCCTTTTATTTGTTAAAATAGCTTTCAATAATTATTGAAATAAAAATTACTTACCTATTTTACCATTAGGACTGTATGGATCGTAACTACTGGTGCTCATAAGGCTTGCGTATCCATTATTGTTGACTTGTTGCTGATGTGCGAGTGGACTGGAGTGCGCCATGGGAGGTTGTTGTGGCTCCGATAATTGCTGTTGCGAAGCGGTATAGACCACATGCTGACTTTGTAAAGAATTTTGCGGCGATCCGGGACTATTCGTCGCTAGCCAATCGTCCGATTTAGCTGTCTTATTGTTATTGGCAATAGTGGTGAAAAGGCCACTTCCAGTGCCGATCGAGCCAGTGGATACGGCAGCTACCGTCGCGGGCGACGTTGACGCTCCTGCCAGATGATCTGGCCTCTCGACCTTGACCAGTGTCAAGGACGCGGCACTGGCAACAACAGATGCCATAGCACCAACGCCAGAGCTGGTGGAGTCACTGTTAGCGGTATCCATGTTTGAATCGCCATTAGTATCCATGTTGGGTGTTGTCGTTGTTATCGTCGTCACTATTGTCGTGGTCGTAATTAATGAATTTACCGTTTCTTTTAACCTGGTTGGGGCTGCCAGGACAATATCCCTTGTGACAATCTTCGATCTTTCATTGTATCGTAATGTTATGTTGCTACTTATTAAACTGGCCACCGTGACGGATCCTTAGCTTTGCTTTTTTATTCTTATTATTAATCAATGCTATGGTTGCTTCTTTTTCCTATTGTCACATAATTCCAAGTTTCTTTAATTACATTATCTTTTCGGCCGATTTTTAATGACGAGAAATATTTATCTATAATTATCTCATTATAAAACTCATTATAAAACTCAATCCGCAATTCTTCCAGTTGAAATTAAAAAAGGAATTAAAATTTTAAATCGATATTGGCCGTTGAAAAATTCTTAAAATGAAAAAAAAATTTACGGTTCTCTCTCTCTCTCTCTCTCTCTCTCTCTCTCTCAATTATACCATTAAATTTATTAATTGATTTAAAATTGATGTGAGATAGTCATAACTTCCACCGTATCTTGACATGTGTAAATGTTTGCTGCAGCTTCATAGTTGAAATCGTTGTTTGTTGATGCTTCAAAGTACCTGCAACATAAAAATGGTTTCAATTAATACAATATATACATATATTGGGTCTGGGAAAAAGATCGTGGCGTTTTTTTAGTAAAATTCAACTGGTTTCCTTATAGTGTAAAAATGAATTTATTTAAACCAAATATGCTCCATTATTATCGACAATGTTTCGCCATTTTTCGGGTAGAGCCATGATGTCATCGGTGAAGAACTTCTGTGGTTTCTGGTTGAAAAACTGAATCAAGTGGTTTTCACAGGCTTCTTTTGAAACCAGCTTAATTCCACTGAAAGAATTCTGCAGAGATCGGAACAAGTGATAGTCAGAGGGTGCTATGTCTGGACTATACGGTGAATGCATCAAAACTTCCCAACCAAGCTCTCGCAATTTTTGACGGGTCATAAAAGAAGTGTGTGGTCGGGCGTTGTCATAATGGAAGACAACACCTTTCCTATTATTCAATTCGGGCCGTTTTCTTTCAATTACCTGACGTAATCTCTCTAGTTGTCCACAGTAGAGTTGAGAATCAATCGTCTAACTAACTGGAAGTAGCTCATGGTGGACGATTCCCTTCCAGTCTCACCACACACACAGCATCACCTTTTTCGGCGTCAATCCTGGCTTTGCGAATGCTTGTGACGGCTCACCATCCCTTGTCCACGATCTTTGACGCTTCCGATTGTCGTACGTGACCCATTTTTCATCACCGGTTATGACACGTTTCAGAAATGGCTCGATTTCATTGCGTTTCAGCAGCGCATCGCAGATGTTAATTCGGTCTATCATGTTTTTCGCGTTCAACTCATGAGGAACCCATACATCGAGCTTCTTTTTATAGCCAGCTTTGTGTAAATGGTTCAAAACAGTTTTGTGGTCAATGCTCCATACCAATATCGACACTGCTGATATGCTTATCTTGCTGGACTTTTTCAAGAATTTCATCAGCTTTTTCAGTGATTGGATGACCAGAGCGTGACTCATCTTTCACATCAAAATTACCAGAACGAAAGCGAGCGAACCATTTCCGCGCAGCAGATTTTGATAAAGTACCTTCACTGTACACAGCACAAATTTTTTCACAAGCCTGCGCAGCGTTCTTCCCTTTGTCGTAATAATATTGCAAAATATAGCGCAGTTTTTCATTACTTTTCTCCATTTTCAAACGCAAACAACTTTCCAACCACTGCACCAATCTCGATGTTTATACACTCAAAGTAACGCTCGAAGTGTCATCTTTCCAACGAGCGTTTAGTGATGTCGCTGCGATCTGTGTTTCCTGAGTTATTTGCAATTGACGCCATCTATCGGGAAAAACCCCACGAACTTTTTTCCAGACCCAATATTTTATAATTATAATTGATTATAAATTCTTAATTACACGCATACGCATTTCTTACGTTCTAAAATATTACGTTCTAAAATATTTCCACAAATAATAGATATAAAATTTTACTGATAAATGTTCGACACACATTTACGTTTTATTTTATTTGAAAGTCGCGCTCGTAGTATGAATGCAGTGACATCTGCGTGGTGGCGCGCGTGCGGAATTAAGAGACAACACTTAGTTTCTTTGTTACTCTGTCCTGTTGTACAAGTATTGAGATGAGAAATAAAAGCTATTAATCAAAACAACAAGGTTATGGGCCCAGGTACTTTACATGCGCATTTAATTCACGCAAGTAATGTGCACATACATATATATAAATATAATAATATCTGGGCACAAGTCAAGTAAAGACAATTAGAAGAAGCGAGGTTATGTGAAGACGATTATCACGTAGAAGCAATAAAAATCAATAATAATGACCTCAGCAACGCAATTAATTGATCGGATCGATAAGTTAAATAGTAATAATTATCGATCATGGAAATTTAATATGAAAATGGCATTAGTACAACGGGAATTATGGAAACATGTAACTAATGAAGCAATCAGACCCGTAGACGATAAGGATGAAATAGAACGATTTAATCGCAAAGAAGAAAAAGCATTAGCAGCGATTGCTTTAAGTGTTGAACCAGAACAACAAGGACACATTATAGACTGTGAGACAGCATTTGATGCATGGGAAGCGTTAAAAAGTTTTGAACCGAAATCACGACCGAGAATATTACAATCGAGGAAACAAATGGTATCAATACAACTAGAACCTGAGGAAACCATAACCTCGTATTTGGGAAAGATAAAGACATGCAGCGATAGTTTAAAAGAAGGATGCGAAATTAAAGACGAGGATTTAGCATATACCATGTTATCTGGACTGCCAGACAGTTATGAAGGAATAGTCATGGCATTAGCGAATCTAGATGATTCCAAATCCAAGTCATCGGAAATAAAAGGAATACTGTTAAGCGAATACGACAGAAGAACAGCAAAAACAACGAGTGGAACTAGCGGACAAAAGGAAGCATACCATCAAACTAAAAGAGCATCACATCAAAGTTCAGAGACCAGAAAAGAAGAAAGGAAGTGCTTTAAACGTGGCAAACAAGGACACATAATGAAAAATTGTAAGTTATTAAATGTCAGAATAAACTATAAGAATAACGTACGTAAGCACAAAGATACATTTTTGCTGGAGATAAATAATACTCAATTAGATGACTGCTGGTTAATAGATAGTGGAGCAATGCATCACGTATATAAACATAGAAACCTATTTAAAAATTATAGACAAGTAACTAATGAAACAATCTATTCAGCTGATAGTGATGCAAATGGTAATTTAAAGGCGATAGAAATAGGTGAAATCGAGATAGAAACTCATGTAAATAATGATATATTTAGTTTAACTTTACAGGAAGTCTATCACGTACCCAATATAAGAAGAAACTTACTATCAGTGTCACAGATATAAAAGAAAAATAAAAGATTAATTTTTGAAAATGGCATGGTAAAAATTTTCAATAAGAGGATTAAAATGATAGTGGGGGAGGCGTTTAATAAAGATGGTTTATACGTAATTAATGCAGAAAATATTACTGATAAATTAAGTCAGACGGAAATATATAATATAGACAATACTAAAATAGATGAAACTTACAAATGGCATCAGAGATTCTGTCACATAAATATTGATAATATTAAAGAATTATCGAAAAAAGGGTTAGTTCGAGGTCTAGAAAAAGTAGATATCAATAAAATTCATTGCCAAGGTTGTAGTACGGGTAAATCTACAAAAGCACCGTGCAAACAAATAAAAGGTAGGTAAAAAAACAATTAAAAAACGTGTTAGAATTAGTGCACTCGGATTTATGTGGACCCATGCCTTTAGAGTCAATAGGAGGATCAAAGTACTTTCTTATATTTACTGATGATTATTCAAGAAAAACTATTGTATTTTGTTTAAAAGGTAAAAACGAAGTAACAAGTTATACGCGTAGATATGTAGCTAGAGTAGAGCGAGAAACAGATAGAAAGGCAAAAAGAATTAGGACGGACAACGGATTAGAATTTTGTAACAATGAACTTATGAATTTGTTTAATGACTTAGGAATTATATACGAACGAACGAACACATACACATCACAGATGAATGGCACAGCAGAAAGGATTAATCGCACACTATTAGATTTAGTTCGCGCAATGTTGAGAACAGCACAGTTACCCGAAAAATTCTGGGCGGAAGCAATATTAGCTGCCTGTTATGTTAAAAATAGAGCTACACATTCGGTAATAGATAATGATGTTCCGGAAGGTGTGTGGACCGGAAATATACCCAGCGTGAAACACTTAAAAGTATATGGATGTCTAGCATATGCACACATACCAAAACAATATAGAAACAAGCTTGATCAAAGAGCAATGGAATGTGTATTAGTAGGATATTCAAATAAAACTAAAGGATATAAGTTGTGGAATCCTATTAAGGATGACATTATTCAAACTAAACATGTAAAATTTGTAGAAGAGACATGCGGTTTTGAGCATATTTCTAAAATATTTATAAAAGCATATTTATAAAAGAAAAACGAACAATATTCCAATCAATGAGGAAGAAAGTATGAGCAATAAAGATGATAAAATGGTGATTAAAAAGACACATGCACAAATAAACAACAATAAAAATGGTGAAATAAGTGAAGATGAAGTAGAAATTGAAATCGAAAAGGATAGCAATACATATAATTTAAGAAAAACGCCGGCGCGTGACATGATTAATGCTGTTAAAACAAGACATGGAAAGATAATCAGAAATCCTTGGGGTCGTGCAGGTAAACCAAATATTGAAATCAATTTAACCGAGATAATAGAACCAGTTTCGTTCGAACAAGCAATGAAATTACATCAATGTAAAGAATGGAAAGTAGCCATGGAAGATGAACTTAACAGTTTAGAAAATAGAAACACATGGGAAATAGTTAATAGAAAAGAACATGTTAAATGTATTGGTAGTAAGTGGATTTATAAAATAAAAACCGATCAAACTGGGAAAATAATTAAATATAAAGCTAGATTAGTTGCACAGGGTTATAATCAAAAGAAAGATGTTGATTATTTTGAATCATATGCACCGGTTGCAAGCATTTCGACCATTAGATTATTGTTAGCAATGTCAATATCTCATGGTTGGAAAATACACTATTTAGACGTGAAATGCACATACTTGTACGGAGAGCTTACTGAGGACATATATATGGAATTGCCTCCAGGATATAATAAATCTAACGAGAAAGTGGCAAAATTAAAGAAACCGATCTATGGGTGAAAGTAGTCTGGTCGCAATTAGAATAACACTATCGATATATTCTTAACTAAGAACGGATTTCGAAGATTAAAAAGTAATAACTGCGTATATGTACATGAAAATGAACTCATATTAACCATATATGTAGACGATATTATATTATTTGCTAAGGACATAAGTAAAATAGAGTATGTTAAGTTATTATTAATGTCAGAATACGAAATAAGAGATTTAGGAACAGTGTCATATTTACTAGGTATAAGAATAGATTTAGACGAACGAATTATAAAATTGTCTCAAGAATTATATATAGAAAAGCTAGC